GGCCAGTGCTGGGGCCTGCGGCTACGCTGATACCCGCCTTACCGAGCATCACGGATAAGAGCTTCATCGAGGACTGTGTGCGAATCCACAACGAGCTCCGCAGGAGAGTGGAGCCGGCTGCCAGCAACATGTACTACATGGTAGGGGCAGAGGGATTCGAGAGCCCAGCAGGGGTGATGGGGCTGTGGGCCAGGGGTCTCTCAGTGATCTATGGGCAGGGCGACAAGAATGGCATCTCTGGTTTGTGTTCATATGTTACGTTTATTGGAAAAGAAGGTTTGTTGAGAGTTGAGTCAGTTGTGGACAGGTGAGAGCAGAAAAAGCAGTCATGCAGTAATGGGACGTAGTGGTAGAAGTCAGCTGAAGATGTGCACGTTTCACCTCAAGGCGTTCCTTAAGCAGCATCACTGGTCCAGCAGTAGAACTGATCCAAAAGAGTCAGGCTTTCCATCGAAAGTGGGGATACAAACAACAACCTGTTTATGTTCGATTAACGGGACAGTAATTTCTAACCTGAAAATAAAAGTACATTTCAAACATTTCTTCAGTTGCTATCAAGTGCCATTACAAAGTTAATTTTCCACAGCGAAGGGAGAAAAGAGAATTATCTAACAAAGTATGTTAATATTTTTGTACTGTAACAGGAAAAGAATAAAACACAAATACTTGCTTAAATAAGGAAAAGTATTTATTTTGGCAACTGCACGATATTATATATATCCGTACTTTATTGCCAGCCTGGTTTTATCTGATTAAGATTTAGTTGTAACTTAATATTGCACAACTGTTTCACCTTTCGTGTTTTGCAGACTTGGGATGCAGCATTGGCAAGGACTGCCAGGGCATGGTCAAGGAGATGCCTTTTTAAACATAACATATACTTAAGAGAGCAGCACCAGTGCCATCCTAATTTCACATCTATTGGAGAGAATATTTGGACTGGGAGTTATCAAATATTCACTGTTGATAGTGCCATTAAGTCCTGGTATAATGAGGTCAATTTCTATACTTACGCAACCCAGAAGTGTACCAAGGTTTGTGGGCATTACACTCAGGTAAGAGTTCTCTTTGGTAAAATGTCCTGTATAGTGCCTGCCAGATAAATCAGTAGGGGCTGTAAATAATACAGAGTTGTATATATGTAGTGAGTGACAGTTTACTGTGTTTTGTAATCCCAAGCAGTAGCTGTACTGACAGTTTACTTCTTACTGCACTAGTTCACTTCTTTGTCTTGTGTAATTTTGTATAACAATAACCCTTTCTTCTTGTCCACAATACTGGCCTCTCTGAGAGGCTCACTCCTCATTTCATTATACCAGTAGTACACAAACTTTATAAACTAATTATTTCAGATTCTCTAGCTGTAGAGACACACAGTTCTGAATTCTGTAAGTTTGGAGATGCTGTTCAAAGTAGTCACAGTAATTGCAGAATGCCTGGGGGTATTCCTTAGTAGTAGTGGTAACTGAAGAGAAAATCCAGCTGAAGTAAATCTTGTAAAAGTCTTGTAAAAAATGAAGGGAAAAAAAGATCATCAACACCAAAAGAAGCAGTTTATGATATATTTCTGATTCCTCGATGGTAATTCTGACGAACTTAGTTCTGCTGAGAAAGTAAAGCTTTTAATTGAAAACTTAATATTTTAAACTTATTTATTTATTCTTGTGTTTAAAAAATAAGCTTTGCAGTATAATTAATCTATGAGCAAATGCATAATATTTCACTGATCCAAAACAGACAGTAATTTTAATGTGAAGTAGATATTATCTAATAAAAATCACTCTCAGTTTCTTACCTTAGTATTCAAAGATGCTTAGGCTGCTTTTTGTGCAAATTACAGATGAAAATAGTGAGCAGTATACTTACAATTAAACTGTTAACAGGACACAGCGGTAGCTGCAGGGTTCTTTTTGAGTAGACTTATGATTGTGAAATGAAAATAATTCAAGTTGCCAGAATAATTTCTGTTTGGGTTTTTTTTTGCACCTCTTTTTATGACTTTTCTCTCATATTTCCCATCAATTGTTAATTCTTGTTCACTGGTCCTGGTTCTTCCAACAAACTCAAAAACAAGGCTGAAGGATTTAAGTTTTGCAGTTTATTGAGCATTAAATCTTTAGAAGATTAGAACTAGGCAATATCTTAGGAAAGTTGTGTTTGCTGTTTTCTTTTGTTTTCCTCTGGCACAATTAAAAAAATGTTAAGTAGCAAGTAACTTCTAGCATTTTACAATTTGCTGTTCAACCTTGCTGTCTACATAGAATTCCAGAAGTTTTTGCATATTTCTCTTCAAGTGATGTTCACTTCTAAACTTTCTGTCCCCTGATTAATATCATATGCTGCTTCCTTAGGTAATCATAGTTAAATTGTATCAAACTGTTTATACATTTTGGACAGAATTCCAAAGGAAACTAATCACTGGAAAAAACAAGCACAGTATATGGGTTAAACACACCAATGAACATGTGAAAGTACAAATGTCATCAAAACTGATAATCAAAAAATAATCATCATGGTCTTGAAGAATGAGACACAAAATTGAAAATGGGTAAAATTTACAAATCATAAATGTATAGGCTGTTTAGATCTGGTAAGAGAATCATAACAGAGGAATCTCAAAATGGTGGAAATCTCAAAAAAAAAAAGTGCATCTGTTTCATAAAGGCCCCTGAAATGCTTAGTCCTTAATCCGGGATTCAGGGAACACCAAATTAAACACTGAGATCCTTTCTGAAGAAAGGTTATGTCTCCTGAACATAACTATTTTTTGCAGTTATAATTGAAGAGACAAAACTTTTCGGGATGTTCAAATCAGTTTGTCAGTCTAAGGCTTGTACTTTTCATATTGGTGAAATATTGAGACTGTCTTTTAAGTTTTCCAGAAATTGAATGTATAATCATCCAGATGTTCTAGATATACACATAAACAGCTTTACCTGATTCAGTACAGTTCAGTCAGTCACATGCAGAAAATATAGGAAGACTCTCCAAGAAAAAGCAGATAGTGCTCAAACTGTTAGGTGATGGCAAACCATCTTCTCTTAAGTCTGGCACATAACATGGGTGAATCTGAAAATGTGCAGTGCTAGAGCTTTCCAACTCTGAAGTTTACAGTAGTAATCAGCCAGACCACTTCCAGCACAAAGGGGACGCCCCTCTTGCAGGCCTGAGTTAGAAATGTTGAAATTAAAGGGGCTGTTGGGTAGTTGCCACTAATTTCCCTTTTGTTCTTTGGAATTTACCCCATGATGATAAAGTTGGCAATTTACTGAAATTATTCTGTAAAAGGTTCTGGGAACTTGCAGCATAGATCAATTTATGTTGAAGGGTGAATATCTAGTAGGTAATCTTAAAATGCTCACCTACCATCAAGGTTTTTTAATTAAGAAACATGTAAGATTTTTGTAAAATGAAAATAATATGTGGGCTCGCTGAAAATACTGGAGATTTTCTAGGTATTAATTAGACTTGGTAACTGTGGAGTGTAGTTTTTAATTTATTTTAACATTGTGGGGCTTTTAGGTTGTTTGGGACAATTCCTATAAAGTTGGCTGTGCTGTTACTTTTTGTAAGGCAGTTGGAGGAGCACGAAATGTAGCACATTTTGTTTGCAACTATGCACCAAGGTAAGTGAATGGTTTAAATTTTTTTTTAAATAAAATTAAAACAATTGTAATGACATTTAGCTGTAAGTAAATTGGCTTCTTTACTTAGTCTTGTAAATGCAATCGGAGAGAACAGTGGTTGTCTAATTCAGTTATTGAGAGGAGCCATGAGTGTTAGACTGTGTACTTGCTTAGCTTTTTAATCTGTTAACTTTACTGATAAATCTCATTCTGTGCCAATCTTAAGTAAACAAATCCCAAACTTAGCTCTTTGTTTTTCATGCAAAATATATGAGAATGTAGCCACAGGCAATTGTTGTAAAAGCTGGAATTACCTCTAGCAGTTTAGTACATATTTAAAATGCACTTTAGCTTTTTACACTGTATTTTTTTTTATTCTTTAGAAACTGTAGAAATAATAGCAAGTTGTTAGATCAGTTTCTATCAGTTTTCCTTTCTAGGTAACTAAGTAAAATAAAATTACATTATTATTCCTTGCCCATTTTAGTAGCTGTGTTCATACCAAATGTTCTTTAAGCATTAGCAAACAGTAAATTATGAATGCAGGAAAAAGAGAACTACAACATGTGATTTTCCTCTCAATTTGATATTCTGAAAAAACATACTTGCCAGCCAGTTCTTTTCCTTAAGCAGGAGGAATTTGAAAACACAGAGGCAGATAGTTGTAAAACAATATATTTTGTCTCATAGTGATGCACAGTGAAGCACATGTATATACAGTCTGATTGTCATTTTTGAAACAGATACAGCTTGTGATCTTGCTTGACAATTCTTTTTTTCTTTTTCTTCTAGCAAACCTGGGCCACTATTGGGGAGTTCAGTTAGCCTGAACTAAAAATTTCATTCACTTCTGTCCGTCTCTCTCCTTGTACCCTGAAACTGAACTTGTACTTGAATTGTTATTTTGAAACTTTTTAGGGTATGGAACTTCATTGTTCTCTTTTTGAAATGTGAATTGAAATATTTCCAGTTGCCAATTTAGTATAATGACTAACAGTAATTAAAGCCTTTTCACTTGAGTCATTTCTAATCTGTAAAACCATACCCTGTTGGTTTGCTGTGCTGTTCTGCACACCCTGAATAATTGATAGCTAAGCTGAGTAGCTGCTTAAGATGAAGTCTAACATGCCATCATTCTTCTGTCCACTGCTTGATACCACAGGCACTGATCTTTATGTCACCACAGAAGCAGGTGGAGTTAGAACAGACCATCTTCTAACAGTCTTTTCCTTTCCTAAACTGTCTGGAAAAATCGGTAAACCTTAACCTTGCACCCCATCATCACCACAATCCAGATACTGTAACAGTCTTTTACAACTTGACATTCATGAGTTCTTGAGGTTTGCACTGTTAGTGCTCAGTTACCCTGCTAGATAGCAGTTTCTTTTCTGAGTTGAGGATAAAGCAATTTAAGGATCACCCTGCCAAAATTACTTTATTCAGTGTAGCAGTTTTACAGTGTAATCCTTCTGTAGAACCTTTTTGAAGGTCTGCTGCTGAGACCATCCATGTCTGGGGTGCCCAGAGAATCCTTCCATCCTTCCCCCTGTTTAAAGAGAAGTGTACACTACTTTGGAACATGACTTGTCCTGTTGTCATTCTCATACCCAAAGTTAACTGCAATTTCCTTGCTACCAGACTGTCATAGTGTTCTTCCCATCTCTTCTACCTGCCTTCCTCTTCATCTAGTATGTCAAAGAAACCTTTGGCTGTAAGAGAAGCCTCAAGATGGTACTTAGTATTTTGTTTGAAGGGTAGCAGAGTCTTAGAAATGCCGTCGAAAGGCTGAGAGAGAATGCTCTCAACTTCACTTGATGCCTCTCAGTTCTTCTATTGTAAGACAAAAACTACACTTTGTGATACTTCTGTGCTTTTGTGAATACAGATAACCTCTAATTACCATTTTGTTATTGTACCTTTCTGTGAGTATGACCTTCCAGATCTCCACCAACTCTTTAAGAAGATAGGTGACATCCAGTCCCCAATAGGTGGCCATATCTGCTATTTCTAGGACTCAGTTTCTACTGAAGAAGCTGTGGGAGTTAGAATATTAATGAACTTTGGTGTCTAGTCAGTAAAGTGGCAAGTGAAAATTACTGTAGGTAAATATGAGATGATACATGGGGAAAAAGGCAATCACCTGTGAAATGATGGAAAATATCAGCTCAGTACTCACCAGCTGTCAGGACCAAATGAAAAGTAGTAATGTTTAATTAAATTATATGTTTACTCTCAAAGTGTGAAACATAAAACACAATAATGTAACTTTTTGTGGAGATAGCCTTTTAGTTTCTGTGGCCTAAATCAGCAAGGCAATTTAGATTAAAGCCCATATATTTTATTCCATTTTAGCAGTGTAGTCTTCAGGAGCCACATGATGTTCCTTGTGTGAGTGACTCTTACTTCTCCCTCCAGAAGTTAACTGCCGCCTTTTCTTCCCATTCCTTAAGCTTTTCAATGAGGCACCACTCTACAACCTAGGTGTTAACCAATCTGTAATTAGAAGAATAGGTAAGGAGATAGATTTACTTACTTAAAATAAAAAGATTAGGTCTCTCAGAGAAAAAAGGCAAGGCCTTTCATCTCTCTGAATCTATGGCTGGGTTCTAGGAGTCCTCTCAATGAGCATTTCACAGTGGATAATGAACTGTGTGAAGTAATAATGTAATTACCGCTTGCAGTGGAAGCCTTTGATATGAAGAAGGACTTGCTGAATAGCAGCTCAGCCAACATCTGTAGCTTCTTTGTATTGCATTCCT